AGCTTCGCCGTGGCATTCCATATTATGCCACTACAGAAAAATAAATGTCCGTAAATTTTGACGAGTATACCAGCGCTGCGCTGCGCTAGCTTGCTGGCTCGTGCTGTCAGAGCACCCACGCCGCCCTGTGCAGAGGCATAGAGGCACGTGCGCAGCCGCGCGGCAGAGGGATGGAGCAGATCATTCGACAGTGAGCGGCCAACGCACAAGAGGCATTGTGCGGCATGCGATGCGGCAGGCTGTTCGATCAACCCGACACAAAGACGCCAAAACACAATGTGCAACGCGGTGTGGCACCGCGTTGGTATTGTGAGGGTCCAGCATCAAACCACGCATCTACATGCCCCTGGTATTACAAGAATCCGCGACAGATTCGCAAGGCATGTGTTTGAAGAATTAACCGACGCCAGTCATATCATCATTCTAAAATCAAAGACCTCACTTAGACGGACAAAGCAGCGTGTCAGTCTATTTGCGCCCTCCGGATGGGTGCTTCCGCGCGCATGCGCGGTCCCCGAAGGCGATTGAGGAGTGATGCAACGGACGGCTCGCTCGTTATTTTCACGCACGGTTGCCGCATGCTCAGGTAGCCGCTGGCCGCAAAAACTGGCGGCCAGGCGGCGTCTGCAGCTGCACTGGCGCCTCCGCCGCAGACGACGCACAACAACAGAACGTAATCAGGTCCACAGTGTCGGGTTGCGACGGCCGCGAGCAAGGCGGCCCAGCCTGCGCTCCGGGCCAGTTTGGAACCGCAGCGATCTCCCGTCGTAAACCAGGCCGATGCGACGCGGGCTGGTGACGGACTCGCTGCCTCGCTAGGCCGATGTGGTGCGGGCTGGTGACGGACTCGCTGTCTCGCTGGGCCGATGTGGTGCGGGCTGGTGACGGGCTCGTTGCCTCGCTGGGCCGATGTGGTGCGGGCTGGTGACGGGCTCGTTGTCTCGCTGGGCCGATGTGGTGCGGGCTGGTGACGGGCTCGTTGTCTCGCTGAGCCGATGTGGTGCGGGCTGGCGACGGGCTCGTTGCCTCGCTGAGCCGATGTGACGCGGGCTGGTGACGGGCTCGCCGTCTCGCTGAGCCGATGTGACGCGGGTTGGTGACGGGCTCGCCGTCTCGCTAAGCCGATTTTGGTGCGGGCTGGTGACGGGCTCGCTGTCTCGCTGAGCCGATGTGACGCGGGCTGGTGACGGGCTCGTTGTCTCGCTGAGCCGATGTGGTGCGGGCTGGTGACGGGCTCGTTGCCTCGCTGGGCCGATGTGGTGCGGGCTGGTGACGGGCTCGTTGCCTCGCTGGGCCGATGTGACGCGGGCTGGTGACGGGCTCGCCGTCTCGCTAAGCCGATGTGACGCGGGCTGGTGACGGGCCCGCCGTCTCGCTAGGCCGATGTGATGCGGGCTGGTGACGGGCTCGCTGTCTCGCTAGCCCAGAGGAGATTTAGTTCAGACGCATCAAGTGTTACTGCGTGTGGCTCGAGCGAACGTGGAGAATGCCTCAGGCACAGGAGAAATAAAATACCTTTTTGCCCGCTCTTGTGCGGCTGCATTCTAAACTTTGGAGTCCGCATACGGGTGCTTCAGGCGCATTCCAAACGTTTGTTATTCGTTCCTATCCATGTGCATTCCAAATGCTGTACCTTTTCGCCGCGCCGTAACCGAAGAGGCTTGGCGGGTTTCAGAGGAACCGACGATGCTGCGCTGACCCCGCTTTATTCAGTGTGTCTATTTTGACACGTGTGTGATTGGACACGAGCATCATTGTCACTGGTCTCGTATGTCGTGGTACTCACCCAGTGCAGGTGTTGCGATTGACCATTTGACTCACACCTTCGTACGTGCACTATATCCGTCTGAGCCCATTCGGAACCTTTCGCAGTTGGACGTCCGGATCCGTAGGCGTCTGGACCCATCCTGGACCCCTTCTTCGCTGCCACAGCCCCGGCTCCCCTTCCCGACCCCTTTCAGTCCCCCGCTCCCCTCCCAGACAAACGTCTTCTGCTGGCGGGGATGCAAATGCGTCGTTCAGTATGCATTGCCGATAGGACCGTACCGGCGCAGGGGAAGCCAGCCTTAGCCGGCATCAGCGCTCCACGCCGGCCCAAACTGATTGACTGTTTAACCTGGCATGGTGCGCGACCTTGGCGGACGTGAGGCAATCCCTCGCCGCGGGCGCTGCTCGAGCGGCGCCGGGGGCACGCGCGCCGCCATCGCCGCACGGGACCTCAGCGGCGCATTTGCCGCGTCGGGCGGCTCTTGAGGACCGCCATCTGACGTGTCCGCTAATTTCAAGTGTACCGTGTTTGAGTGTGTGAGTGGATTTTGACAGTTTCTGAGGGAGTACGTCAATTCCCTGTTCCGTGTCACACACGAGAAAGCATCCCGCCAAGCACATGCTCAGAAGTCTGCAAATATGTACGGAAAACTCAAAAGGCCCGTTCATGTACTTTCATGCGCCCGGGATAGCAGTCCGAGATAAACAGTGGACGATTGAGTCCTCTTTGTTATTTTAGTTGTAAAACAGACGTTCAATACCAGCAGCCATACATAGATATTATGCGTAGACAGAGAGGGTTCCGGCAGCGCAGTGGTTAACGCGTCCGCGTTTACCACTGGACGTCTGGGAAACTGGAGGTACGGGGTTCGATTCCTCGCGGTGCCCGCCGCTCCTGCCAGAGTGAGAGGCGGGCGATGCCACGTAGCCTCAGCAGCTGGGTGCATTGTAAATCCGCAATGACACACACACACACATATGTGTAGTCAGATATCTGTAATCTAGCCAGCGATTGTGGCTGTAATATTTCCGCTGGAGCGATGTGTTGCTGGTAGGATATGTCATCAAATACTCTCACAGTCTGTCCGCTCCAGCCACCTTATCTCCGCACACGACTCTGTTCCCTTTTGTTGTTTACTCTCGTTCAATCACCACGAGGGCATAAAAGTTTTATCGACCTGCACTGTCGCTGCAGAAACATGATGGAAGCCGGACAAAATGGCCGCGTCTGTAGACAGCATAGGACTACCCGAGGGCAACACACTAATAACATACTTAAGCCTTTTGCAATCAGAATGACATGAACTGTGGGCCATTCCAAGCGGGAAATTCTACGCCTGCACAAAGCACGTGCTAATCGGTGCTAATCCGCGCCTCCGGACCTTCTGCCCTACCGAAAACGCAAGGCCTCCTATGATATGCAGACAAAAAATTGTTGTGATGAAGCTGCGATGCTAATGCAATTAACTCGCTGTCTCTGATTTAAAGCACGCCGGTGTCCGATCCGTGCTTGCGCGGAAAGTTTTATTACACCCGCCGAATTGGATGCGGAAAGCATTTGACGAACGGTCGCGCGCGACGCTAATTTGTAATTGTAATTGTAATTGTGCGCGCCTCCGGTGGCGGTCGGTGGCGTCAGTGTTACGCATTCCTGTCGAGGGCCGGGCCCGGTCTGCGCCGGCCATATTGGGCCAGGCCGTGATTTGATCCCGTCGCATTACCATGATTACCTCGCCGGTCGGCTGCCGCCAAGCGCGATCGTCCAGCGCACGAAGCGCTGGATCAGGGGCGGAGGTGGGGAGGGGCCGCCAGCACCTCTCCGTCTACGGCAGAGGCGCAACAGGACATGTCCAGCGCACGAGGCGCTGGATCAGGGGTGGAGGGTGGGGAGGGGCCGCCCAGCACCTCTCCGACCACGGCAGAGGCGCAACAGGACATGTCCAGCGCACGAGGCGCTGGATCAGGGGTGGAGGGGGGAGGGGCCGCCAGCACCTCTCCGACTACGGCGGAGGCGCAACAGGACATGTCCAGCGCACGAGGCGCTGGATCAGGGGTGGGGGTGGGGAGGGGCCGCCAGCACCTCTCCGACTACGGCGGAGGCGCAACAGGACATGTCCAGCGCACGAGGCGCTGGATCAGGGGTGGAGGTGGGGAGGGGCCGCCAGCACCTCTCCGACTACGGCGGAGGCGCAACAGGACATGTCCAGCGCACGAGGCGCTGGATCAGGGGTGGGGGTGGGGAGGGGCCGCCAGCACCTCTCCGACTACGGCGGAGGCGCAACAGGACATGTCCAGCGCACGAGGCGCTGGATCAGGGTGGAGGTGGGGAGGGGCCGCCAGCACCTCTCCGACTACGGCGGAGGCGCAACAGGACATGTCCAGCGCACGAGGCGCTGGATCAGGGGTGGGGGTGGGGAGGGGCCGCCAGCACCTCTCCGACTACGGCGGAGGCGCAACAGGACATGTCCAGCGCACGAGACGCTAGGTCACGGGGGGAGGCGGAGAGGGGCCGCCAGCACCTCTCCGGCTACGGCAGAGGTAGTGCGAGGCATGTTTCACCACGGCAAGACGACATCGGACTGCCGACATCTGCACGCGATCCAGATGTCGTCAGTCCGGACCCTCCATCTGCTTTCATGCCGTTTGTTCAGGGGCAGTTTGGTTGTCCTTTCTCCAAGGAGAGATGTCGGATAATTTCCGAAGTGTAACGTGCATGAAGTCCAGGTTTGTCCTGTGCAATGCAGACCAGCGATATTTTTTATTAGACCTTCGTGCAAAGCACCAGCGCTTACGCCGTTGCGGGGCCTACGCCGATACGATATCTTTATGGTCGTTCACGTAGTCACGTGATCGGTATGATCCGCTGGACCCACGTGGTCGATGCAATTTTTACAAGAAAATATGAATATACGTTACCACGACGGGCCATTGCGGCCTTCTTCAAGCACGACACGAGGTAATGATTTTCCGAATCACCGATCCTAGGGCTGATCTTGAGAATTCATTGGTGCATCGCTCTTCCTTGGTAATAAACACGTCGAAACTTTATTGTGTTCTGGTCTCCCAGGTCCGCGTGTACCAAGCGGTGCAATGGGCGGTGCGCGACCGTGCGCGCTGCCCCGGCTCCGGATGTGTGTCTGGGCTCCTCCCGACAGGACCGTCCGGTCCGCCGCCGCCGCTGCCACCGCCGCCGCCGGACGCCCGCCCCGCGCCAGTGTTGCGCCGGCTGCCGGCGGGGGAGCGCGCGCGCGGCGGCCGACCCGACAACGCAGCCCCTGGTCTGCCGTGTGCCGGTCCGTGCCGGGCTGAGCTGGGCGGAGGCCGAACTGGTCTGGCTGGTGCTGGGGCTGAGCTGGGCGGTGATGCGAGTGAACTTTGGCTAGTGGACCTGAACTGCTTTGAACTGAGCTGCGCTGCGCCGAGTGGGGTCGAGCTGTTTGGAGCGGAGCTGGGACATTGCGCTTGGGGCTGAACTGTATCGAATGGAGCTGAACTGTTCCGAGGACGCTGAGCTGGCGTGAGACGAACGAGCGAGCTGACGACAGCAGTCAGCTGCGAGCCAGTACCAGCAGCACCGCGGCTCGGGTAGCCGCGCCACCGAGCTACGTGGACTGCGCTGAGCCACGGGAGCAAAGCTGGGCTGAACTGAGCGAGCTGAGCTGCGCTGAGCTGAGCTGAGCTAAACTGAGCTGAGCTAAGCCGAGCTACACCACCCCGTGATCGCGTGTTGGGGGCGAGTGCGGGGATCGGCGCCCTGACCGCAGCAGACCTCTGCCGCAGGTGAGCTAATGATCTCAGCACGGCGCCAATGATCTCAGCACGGCGTGACCGGTCCGCTGCCCACCTGCATCAGCATCGCCCGACGTCGAGCTGTCGGTCGCGCCGGCAGGGATTCGGGATAAGCTGTGTGTCAGCCGACCAGCGGTTGTTGCGACGGGTGCAGCTCGGCCGGAAATGTCCATTGTTCCGACGTTTGGGGGAGGCGAAGGTCAAATAATTTTTCTTTAAATGTTCTCCAGTCTTAAGCGCACGAGTGCCACCCAACCGAATTCCAATCAGAAAAGCCGGAAAACTGGGACAGGACTGCGGAAACAAGGAAATTGCCTTCAAACGATTTTATCAGTTAATTCTTGTAATAACGTACAGGAAATGGTTTCGTCAATGTAGCAGACACTGTATCTGGGTTGAACACATCTGCACAGCTCTCTTAAGGACAGTTTTTCTCCCATTAAGACCGGCGTATAGGATCTCTGCCGCGAAGAAATGTACTCAAATGTCAAACACCGGTCGTCCAGCGCCTTATCTGGCCTGAAGCGCACTGCAAAGGCCGGCGTTCCGTGCAGCCAGGTGTAAGCCGTCGTGCGGCCGGCTGGAGCTGGCGCGGCGCGGCTGTACACGGTCGGGCAGCACCTGGCGCGCGCCACCGCCGGCCCTCCCGCAGTGCCGTGCTCCTGCTGTCGGTGCGACCGAGGCGGTCACGAAAGTCCGGCCAGGCGTGAAAGCTGAAAGCCTGCGAACGTGCTGCAGGACAAGTCAGAGGTGTCAGCCGTGCGCGAGAATATGGGCGGTGTCAGAAGAGGGTCCATGTTAGGGATGCTGGTGTCAGGGTGCTGAAACGAAGTGATCTGCAGCCGCTTGAAGCGGTGTTAAAAGCTAATGCGATGGCTTACATATCTTCAGTTTAGGCGGTAATTCATATGAAGCCACCAACATGTCTCATATGCTTGTGGCAATAATATGTGGCTGATCGACTGTGAGAATAATCAGAGGACGATGAGATATAGCCTGCATAGTTCCGGCGTTCTCGCAAGCAAGGCCAGGATAGGTTCGCGAAGTTGAAATATAATGTGAGCCATCACGAGGAACGTTCGAAGATGCATCACGGCCTCTGGTTCGCTGCATCGGCTAGTTTATAGTCTGGGCTGAGTGTTTGGCTTTGTTTTTCTCCAAGGAAAGCACTAAAGGTGGCCAAACAGGCTGCTTAATTGGATTCCCGATTTTTTCCCCTCGTTGAATGAGATCAAACAGCTTGCACGTGGAATTCCAACGAGTTTACACAGTTTAACTGCATTGCAAGAAACAGCTCAACCGCTGTGGTTTAGTTGTTTAAACACAAAGCATACCGCTAAGCCATTTGGATTACATGACAAGTTGAGTGGTTAGGAGAGACTACGTGCCAACATTTAAAGGATTTGATGTGGAGGTTCTGGCTTGTTGTTTGCGGCCCCTCGCTTTTGATGGCATTACATATGATGCCTTCTTATTTTGTGGGTGCAGGTATGCTTGTTAACTTTGTCCCCTCACATATTTATTCAACATTTATCCAAAACTTCAGGTATCTATCCAGATATTAAGATTTTGATAATTGGGCAAAAACAGCGCGTGAAGACCGGGCTACTCCATGGCTGCTTTCCACCTGGTTAAAGCGTCTTTCCGTGCTATCACCCGAAATCGGGCGAGATTGAAGACACAATATGGACACGTCGTGACCCCAGCCCTGTGCTCTCTCCACTCTGTCAACTCAGCGATCCATTGGCGGCCTGCGGCTGACAGCCTGGCCTTGAGACATGCATCACGCCTGTGCAGCTCGCCAGACAAAGCATGATGTCGTGTGGACAACCAGTGCCGGACATTGTTGGCGGACACGACGTTGTAAGGCGTTCATGCGCGGGGCGAAACCGCTGGGGCCCGAAAGCTGCGTGGATGTCGTGCGCGAGCATATACAGATATGGGGAAGGCATGGCTGCGACCGCTGACGGGCCATGTTTGCTTCGTTTCGTTCTTTTCCACCGAGAGCTTCCGTTTTCCACTGAGAGTGCAATGGAGCTTCGTGCACTGCGGGGATTCAAGAGCCGGCAACCAAATGTCCTCTGGCAGTGCGTCAACGACGCCGCTTTGATGTGGATTTTTTGCCTGCACAGAGATTGCTGGTGATCTCAACAGGTTTTTAGCCGGACTCGACGCTTGGACGCAGGCAGCAGGAACTCGCACTGTGACAGGGCCTCCGCACCCTGTCACATAGGCAGATACACGGGCAGGCGGCAGATTTCCTCTGGTCGAGGATTGGGTCCCCGTACACATAATGTGCCCTTGCACAGCCTCACAGAACTCCCAGCAGCCGTGGGGCGCGTCGCAGACGGCGCGACTCGGCCCAACGCACTACTGGCTGACTAATTTCATGAGATCGCTCAGGTTTTCATGCCGCAATACCAAAAGTGCCGGAGCATTTTGGCACAGCGATGGCGCGTTGTGAGAGGGAACCCCCTTGGTTCGACACGAAGCCGCCAGAGGACCCCGAGTTCCTCAGCATGATTGCCGTTTGAGAACTTTGCTCAGATCGCGCGCGCAGAGCAGCAAGCGCCAATCACAGGGGCGCTCTGCCTGCGAGTCTGAGAAATTTGGTCACGCTGTACCCCCGGTGGAATACACGCCCGTCACGCCAATGTGCGTGGCGTCAAGCAGGCGTCAATAACGGCGTCCAAGCGCATCATTTTAATTGGTGCGCCCAATGATGACTGGCACTTCCGGGCTCACGATAATTTGGCGCCGTCGGCTGAGCGCGGGCACGATTGATACAAATGAACTGGCCTGCTTCGGTGGAGGAGCTGCTGTGGGTGGTACCGGGTCGGCCCCGTCGGACTGAAGGGGCGGGGGTGGCTTGTCGCGTCATTAGTCGTCGTAAACGCGGCAGAACCCCAATACTGGACGGAAGCGTCAATGCGAAAATGATGGATAATATATATGTTTTGTTAGGCTGGTTGCATGCGGCCCTCCACCATTTTAACGTTTTGTTTACGAGCCGTGATGGGTCATAATGTGATTTGATAGAAGTTCACTGCCATGAAGTGAGACGGGAACGTTATACAAGAACAGAGAACGTTATGCAAGAAATCATGAAATACGAAGACGAAGCAGAGGTACCTGGTAACACGTGATCACCGTGCGAAGTAAAAACATCGCAAGAATGCTCGTCTTATCTCATCCTTATCTAAGGAAGAAAACACTGATGGCTTTATCTTAACGTTGACAAGACGGAGCTAAGCCGAAAGTCATACGTTTACGATTGCGGCGAGTTCCTGTCTGGGTCTGGCGCTCTCCGCGCGCGCGTCTGCCCGCGCCGGTGCACGCTCTGGCAGTACGCGCACTGATTGGCCAGCGTCGGACCGATTCCGGTCCGGCGGTGCGGCGCCAACGTATCTTCAAATCAAACATCGTTTTTTACTCTGCAGCCAGTGGCGCGATAAGCCGACAAGTGTTTGGACACGGCTCATTAGCTCTGCGAACGCACGTCACAGCAGTTGCCCCGTTACCAGTGTGTCCGGCGCTGAGGCTCGCCTGAGCCGTGCAGTCAGGCCACCAGACACTCCTTGCGTTTCTGCGGTGAGGGTGGGGCCGGCTCGGTGTTTCTGGCGGGTCACAACCGCCCAGGGTGGCCTGGAGGGTGGGGAGGGGGATGTTGCTTGACGTTGAGTTACAATCCACGCTGCTCGCTTTGGAACCACGATTTTCCCTTGCCTGTAGCCAGTGACCGCAGCAGACGGAATCAGAAAGATAATTGGGCAATTCATTCGGAAGGGACCACTGGACAAACGTTTGCACGTTGGGTGTGGTCCGTTGTGCCAAAGTGAAGACCAGCAGTGTCTATAATAAAATGGAACGTTGCCAACTTATGCGCATTGTTTCGCTTGTTTGCCTCGTCGCTGAACCGAAGAGGCGAGCAAGTTTGAAGTTTTCCTTCACAAGCCTCAATAATACCCCCATGAGAACACGAGTGCCGCCGGCCGCCCGCCGCTCCCCGGCCCGCCTGCCTGCCGTCTCGACCAATCACGTCCGTCCCCGGTCGGCAGGTGCTATTGACCTGCGTGTTTGTACCCGGTTGGTCGTTAGTACCGCGATAAGCTCCTGCCGAATGACACCTGATACCGCCTTATCGCTTCGACGATGGCGCGCCAATTTGTCGCCGACGCCAGCGATGGCGAAATCGGCCAATAATGGTCATTGCGGAAGCGTTTGGACTTCACGAAATGTCACGGATTTGCAGAGCGACAAAATAGTTTTTTACAGATGCGCGCTGACGCCCAAGTTCAACAGTTGAATTTAAAACGACTTACAAGCACGCCGCTGCGTAAACTAACTGCAGTTCGTGGATCGTAATGTTATGATCGCATGGACGTTCGTATTCCAAACATGGCCGACTGAGCGTGTGCTGCAGCCGCAATCACGTCATCACGTCTTTGCTAGACCCGCTCCGAACCCTGCCTGACGCGTGTACCGCAGCCGCTCTCACGCCATCACGTCGTTGCTAGACCCGCTGCGAACCCTGCCTGACGCGTGTACTGCAGCCACTCTCACGTCATCACATCACCGCCAGACCCGCTGCGAACCCTGCCTGACGCGTGTTTCAGGGGATGACCGGTCCAACCTGCTAGATCCGAGCAGGCCAGCCGTTCGGGTCGACCCAGCGGCAGGCGAGGAGCCGTGTACGGAGGTCCGTGCGTCTCTCCGTCAGCGCGGAGCTCTAGCGCTGCTGTCCCGGCACGCTTGAGCCCACCGCCTGCTCCCGGTGCCAGCAGGCGGTGCATCGCCGCTGCCTCCGCGCCCGGGGCCCGGCTGGAGGTCGGCACAGGTCCGCCGCGTCCGGCGGACCGCGGCGCTCGGTGCGCTCCGAGAAGTCGCCATGCTGCTGCGAGTGATGCTGCTGTTGCTGGCCGCCGCGCCGTGGTCCTTGGCTGACCTGGACACGACAAGTGAGTCACTCACGTGTTCACACATGTGTCTATAGAGGTGCCAGTGTGCGCGCCCCCGGTGTGACAGCTTGTAGCGGACTACCCATGGGTGTCGCCGCCGGATTAGCGCCTTAGAAGCATGTCGAGCCCTGCAAACCTACTGTGCCACCCGTTGTTGTGAAGTCCAAGGCTGTTGATAGCTTGGTTGACCTGCAACGGAAGCCGTTGCGGAAATCGTTGCCCTGTAATGTATGCCGTCTACAGCACGCTTTGAGGCTCCGATTGCAATAACACGTAAGGCGGCCTACTGTCGACGGACGCTCCAAAGTTTTTTCCCCACAATCCTCGGAGGCCGTCACAGCTTCAAAGTTTGCCTATTACAGCCGCGTTGCTCACCAGAATAACGCCGGGATCGCCTTTAACTCCGACAGCGTCTACGCTCTGTTTTTTAATGTTTGATCCAATCTTTGAGTGTTCCAAAATGGCGGCGGCAACTTTGTGCCAGCTTCTGTCGGGTGTGACAGTTGTAAAACTTGCTTCCTGAATCCTACTGCCGTCTGGGCGCTTGCGACTGACAGAAAACGCCCGTCGTCTGCCGGCACTGCACTGGCGTGGTCTCAGAGAGTCAACGTGTGTCGCCATTGCCTGTCACTTGCAGCCTCTCGCCACTGGCCATCGGCGCCGGAGCCGGGGCCCGCTGTCGATCCCCGAAGGCCGATGGGCGGATACGGTGCGGGCTCCGACGCGCCGGCTGGCCGCTGCCCGATGGCGATATTGTCAGCGTCTTCAGTCGTCTGGGCGTCACCGAAACGGCACGGCGGCATGCGCGGGACATCCATCTCGAATGCCTAACCCGATATACCTGCCCTCTGAGCTCGGTCACATAAAAGGAAATCCGGCCGCCGCCGCGGTGCCACGCTCTCTGCGCCTGATCTCGTTTTCACCGAGTCGCGACGCCGTATGCATCGGCTATCTCGGCGGTCTCCTCGGCGACCTGCTTTGGGAATATCGAGCCGCCTCGTTGGGGGCCTCTCAGCAGCATCTATCTAGAGACGATGGACTATTAGCGCCGGTCTGACTTGTGCCACGCGTCCACTACATATGACCACCATTATTTCCCGCTGCATAACAGTTTAAGTAGCACATCTAACTGCATTCTAATAATAATGATGATCGATGGTCCAGCCATTATTTTTAAGAACTATCAATAATCCATAAATTAAATCAAATAACTCATTGCCTTTAATTGGCTTTGGTACGCCATCGCTCGAAGCGCGCTCCATCCCTATTCATCGGCCGCTCCAAGCAGAAGCCGCTGCCGGCTGCGAGCTAGGCGCGCCGTTCTGCTGTGCGCCGGCAGACGCCAGCGCTGGCACGGTGCCAGGGCAGGTGACCGCGTCCGGCGCGTGCTGCCGAGCATCAGCCGGGTCAGCCGGCGGCGCCTCTGATCTGCCGCTTTGAAGCGGCCGGTCCGAGTAAAATAGGCGTCGACAGCTCGAGGGTCCGACCGACACGTGAGGTGTTCGATTAAAACTCGGCGCCGGATGTGACTCGTACGTGTCGGGGAGCCTAGCTGACATGAGACGTGTCAGCGCCAGCTGCTACCGAGCGCTGCGCAGCTCGGCCGACAGACTCATTCAGAAACAGCGCGGTGTTCGAGCGGCATAAGGGCTGAGAACTATTTACTTAGCACCGGTGACGGACACACGCAGCCGTACGAGGACTCGCAAGGTGTATCGTGTCTTGAAGAAGTTTTTTCCGCTAGTGAGGCTGTCTGAAAGTCGACGTGGTGGAGAGCAGCGATCCTCACCATACAGGTTGTGATGGCAAGGTACGACTCAAAACAACGATTCTCCCAATCGGTCCCAATTTGTGAATCGGTGGTTGGTGGGTGTACATAAGTGTGTTCCACTGCAGAAATGCCCCTTGCCACTCTGCCAGGACCATGCATCTCAAGTGGTTTTCCAGTCGTGAGAAGTCCTACGTTGTAAGGTTACGACCACAACCAAAGTCGCGCGGTTCTTACACCAGTTTGTAGAGGTGGCCAGAGTGCATGAAGACTAGAAATGATCCCGCTGTCGTGCAATTACTCTTCACGCAGCGGGCGTCAAAATCAGCTTCCATTCCCATGACGTCCGCGGCTGTGGCGACGGGCATATCATTGCGTTGTTGTCAGTTGGTCACTGAGCGCTGGCCAGTGCTCGGTTTGGCCGCTGATTATGGTGGTGAAAAATGCGCCAGCCAAATGCTTGGTTAGTTGTGCACTGACCACTTTTGGCCGGCTGGCGGCTTGTACCGTAGTTGACTGGTTCTGGAGTCTGGGTCGGTGCCCGTGGATCCAGCGCTGGATCCAGCATTTTAGAGCAAGCATTTCCTGGTCGGGTCAGCACTTGCACAATGCACAAGTTATGTTCTGGATAACACTCACGTCTCCAACCTGGACGCGTCAGGGTACGGCTGAATATGTAAAAGCTTTCTGAATTATCAAAGCGCCAAGCCCGACACGTCAGAAATGGGCTGATTTTACAAAAAAAAAACCTGACTAGCCTTCCACGGCGAGAGGTGTTTGGTGTCCGGTATTACCTTAAGGATAGTTGTTTGCCGTTGCCTCGTGTCAACATTGCAAGAGAAGTTCACTGTTCTGACAGGGCTGAGAGCGACCTTTCTTCAGGCCCCGGGCCTCGGCTGCCTCACCTGGCCTGTGTGACCTCGCCTTTCCCCGCAGCAGCGGTGTGAGCGGCGGTTTAGCGGCGCTGCACGCCGCATTGCTCCCCGTTCCGTTCACACGCCGCCGAGAGCGAGGCGTGAGAACGGAACTGACACCTTGCGACGGACCACTGAGCTGGGGAAAAGTCTGTCGAGTGGCGCCGTGTTTCGTTTACCGTCATTGCTTCACGAAAAACCTTTTGGGCGAGACGACAAACATTTAAATTTTCAACCTTAGAAGACTCGCGGATGTGCGCGTTTCGGTACGCTATTCATCTTTGAAATCCCAGTTGACCTCTTCGACCCAAAGTTTTCTCAGTTGTAGCTTGGCATCAGCTCAAGAGAGCAGCTTGCTGGCATTTGCAGCAAACTTCGAAGTTTGCGTTCGCATAAAAGCAACTAGTAGTTCGGAGCAGGTTCTGGGTAGCATGCGGCAATTTACCGCGGCCGTGCAGTTTCAACGAACGATCTTCCGTGATATCTAATGGCATTCCTAGAAACCCTCTGTCTTGGGAAATGCTTGTAACGGAGTTTCCAAGATTTTAAGCCAATGCCGGGGCTGGAAAAGACGCGCAAAGGAAATTTGATGTTGATTGCTTCTGGGCCTTAATTGAACTGGTGTATTACCGCCTGGTAAATGCTATCGTTGCCATTCTATCAATGCGTTGGAAGTCGCCGACTGTCAGAATCTGTTGTTGGCCGCTGAAGTAAAATCACGAAAATCTCCTAATTATGCCTTAAAAGGTATGCCTTGTTATCCGTGTACCCACTTCACATAGGAGCCGCTTTCTCTAGATATTCGTAAGCGTTCCGTGTTAGGTAATGATGGATGTTGTGTCGGTAATGTGACTAACTGATGATAAGGACCAATCAGAGGCCGCTGTACGCGTTAATTACCAGTCGCCGGCAGCAGTGCCACCCAGCTACAAACACACCGATACACAGGCAATCGTGACATCTTCTTATGACGTGCATCGCCAGATAGTCAGGGCTCAGACGGCTAGAACCGTCAGGAGTTGACCAGAGGAAGCAGAGCAATCCGCAAGCGTGCAACACTCTGTGCTTGCGCCTCACTTCGACGCACTCTGTCCAAGAAAGTGGTGAGACGGACATACCGGGCTGCATCCCAGTAAAGGAAAAATCGTGTTTCTCCCATGTACATCTATTCAAGGTGGCTTTGGCATCTCCGAGGTCTTTCAACTGATCAGCCCATTAACGTTCCATTAATTGTCTCTTTGGGCTACAGCTCGTTAACGGCAAACTAGATCACGGGCAGTAGCTGCCATTGTCTTCATTTCGTTCGGGGAGGGTCGGGCATTCTCCCTGCTAAGGAAGCTGTCTAGATTTCATAAGAAAATGCAAATGATGACGATAAATGAGGGCAAGTCAATTGGCCTGTCCGTCATTTTTCAACCCAATAGGTCCTGCCGCCACAGAGGCGCCTGGGGTGAACCCTCGGTCCAGAACACATCGTTCCGACCCGATCCAATCCACGTGCCATGTCCGTCAGCGGCGGCGGCGCCTCCCGTCCATTCACGGCACCGGTGGGAACGGTGGGGCGCGTGCCACCGCCCTCCGAGGGTGGAGCGGGAGCGATCAGAGTCCGGTCGCGGACCTGGGAAGGGGCCCCAGAGATCCCCATGACTGAACCCGCCCTCGAACGCGTGCGTCGCCCGGAGTCGCCTTCTGGAGGAGAGTGGCCCGCACTGGCTTGCGGTCATTTTCCCATTCGTAGAGCGGACACCTGGGCTAGTTCCCAAACCAAACGGACCCCCGGTACGGTCCCCCCTTCGTCCCAATCCGGCCATTCTCACCGTTCTCCTGGGACGCTCCCCGTTCGGAATCACCGCCAGCTGAGGCCGTCCCTGGCGCGGCCCAGCCGTCTCCGGGGACGCACACCCCCGGCCGTGGTCACCCTCGCGCCGCGGTCAGGCCCTGGGCGACGGTCGATGCGGGCCCACGTGTCGGACAGCGGTGCTGACCAGCGCCCGCGCCCGCCAGGCTAACGGCAAGACCAGGTGGATGGCGCTGCTGGCTGCAGTCGGTCGTTCCCGCCGCACGGGTTTTCCAGCAGTTTTCGAGCTGGTAGCCGACTGTGGTCATGCACTTCGTTCGGTTTGCGGATTGTCACGAATTCGAGTCAGCTCTGTGTCAAGTTTGTCTCGGTTCTGTGACGAACACGAATTCGACTCTGTTCTATGACGATCACGAATCCGATTAAGTTCTGTAATGAGCACGAACTAGGCTCTGCTCCGGCTCGACTCGACTGGCTGCCACGACTACATCCACGCTCTCTGACAGTCGCAAACCCGGCTCAGACCTGCGGAGACTGGCGCGGATCCGGTCCGCGTCCGTGACGGATGTATCTCGCGCCGTTCTGCTGTGGGACCGTCCGCTTGCGGTACGTGTTTCGCTGCTGAAGATACGCAAACATGACCGAACCTCGCATTCCTGTCGTTTAAGCGTGACAGGTATGCTGATAATTGAGGTGATTAGCGTTCCGGTGTCAGTGTCTGCTGACGGATGTCGTCTGTCAGCCCGACTGACCCACCGACTGGCCGGGGGGAGCCAGTGGCCTGCCCCAAATCACCATACGCTGCCCACACATATACAAACCGCCACCGAAAAACGCCGCCCTGCCGTAATCCGCGCGGCGGGCGTGCCTTCACGCACGCGGACTGCCGTCAAAGGCCTTCGTCAGATCAAGAAAAGAGGCATCGGCGGCACCGTCGTTATGACCGGGAGGGTCGCCTAATGGTCGGGGATCGCTGGGCGACTGCCGTCTCCCGCTCGATCTGATTATTCCGAGCAGGGGTGCGCCCCAGAGGGGAGACGAGGGCGACACTCGCGGCAAATCGCTGACTGGTGACGCTGAGTCACTGCGCAGAGCGGGGACGTCCGCCTGCCGGCCGCTGGCTGCAGCCAGCAGGAACTCGCTGATTTTTACCCGCTGAAACCACAATCCTCGGCCAGGGCATTCATCCCGGCGCACTTTTCGGTCGGCGCGGCGGGCATTAGCACCGAGGGGGCAGTCGTGTGGACGTCCGCTTGCGGTGACATCACCATGGGGAGCAGCGCGACCCGTGACGCGCCGGCGGCCCACACGCCGCTGGCCGCCGGCGAAATGTGAATTATGGCGACGGGAAGATACAAAACCGCGGGGAGCGGCAACATTAACCGATCCCATGCGGGTAGGGGTGATGTATAACGCTCAAATTGCACCGCGGTTCGCTCGTTTCACAATAAAACCTCATTACGTGGCAGCTCGCCGGCGCGGAAAACATGCGTGCCGTCGGCCGACCCGGTGATAAATTTTCACGGTAATACCTCTGCACGGCGCTGAATGGTGCTCCAGCTGCGCGACCGCGGGAGGGGCATTCCTCTTGGCGCGGGGCGACGACGCGGGCCGTCCCGGTGTCACACCTGGGGTCACTGGAACGAGCTGCCCCGGCCGAACGGACTGGGGACCGCAGCCTCGGGGGCAACAAGGCGCTGGTCGATGTCACAGCAGGGCTCAAGTTTAGCTCCTTTCCCCTCCCCCTTCCCTCGCTTTGGATAACACTAGGACGGACGATCCTGCGGTTGCAAAACGGAGCTCAGCCCATTCCCGGGGGCGAGCACCTCTCCCCTCCCGCCCCGCCCCGGTCGAATATGCATTGAACCCGTTCAGCACTCTTCAGTCCGCCTTCCCGCTGATTCTGCCGGTGTGCCGGCCGGTGGGCGGAGGTGACATCTCCCCTCCCCCACCGTGGCTCAGATTCCCAGCCAGTCGCGGTGGCGGCCAAGGTAGCACCGGAATGCCACACATCCGCCCCGTGTGTGAGGAGACGCCGCCAGCGACGGGACGGCCGCGCAAACAGGCTGTCGCCCGCCGTCCGGTCCCCATGCTGGCTCCCGCGTCTCCTCGGTGTGAAGCGTCGGGGATCGTGGGTAGGCAGTGGGGAAAAGTGCTCGGTTGTCGCCCCAGTAGTCCAGTTGGGAAATCGTTGTATGCGCGAGTCCATTGCAGGATACATTTTGTATAATCAGCTGGGGATCTGATCCAGGTTAAAATAGCTACAGCTACTCCCACTTTCAGGTTCGGTCGAACTTGTCAACGGATGTGACATGCTTCTGTTTAGAAGTTCGTGGGTCTGGCAGCAAGGTTGACGTTCAGCTGGTCCTTTGTGCACCTGCGATGTGGGATGGCGCCCTGCATGGCACTCGTGTGATTCGTTTTTGTTGGTCAATGGTCGATTGGCCCGGAGACTGGCGCCACCGCAGACCGACCGTGTCATGTCAGGACGTAACTTGCCAAAATTTTTAGTGAGATTTCCTTCAAACGGGAAATACTCAGCTGAAATGTTTTCAGGGTCTTCGACAAAAACTCCGTTTCACAAGGCTCTGGCCCCAAAGCTGTACCATTTCAAATTCGGGAACAATGCCCATAACAAAGAATTCACATGCGATCTATTCAATGAGCGGCATCTGAAAAATGGCGATACCATGCTACTGAGAACATCTCCCTACGCTGGCCTCGAGCTTGCCAGCGGCGCGCCGGTTTTGGGGCCCGTCCGCGGCACCGCGGGGTCCTCGTCTGAGCGCCTCCGTCGACGGGCGGTCCGCCGTCGTTATCGACGACGTCCGGGTGGCGGGGAATTTGCTGGGCCAGGCCGCCGTGTCAGTCGGCTGAGCCCCGGTGGCGACACGTGCTGCTGGCGGGTCACGTCAGCCGAGACAGGGCCGGCGACTGGGGGACAGCGGTGTCGGCCTGAACACATCAGCCGAGACAGGGCCGGCGGCTGGGGACAGTGGTGTCGGCCTGAACACGTCAGCCGAGACAGGGCCGGCGGCTGGGGACAGCGGTGTTGGCCTGAACACGTCAGCCGAGACAGGGCCGGCGGCTGGGGGACAGTGGTGTCGGCCTGAACACGTCAGCCGAGACAGGGCCGGCGGCTGGGGGACAGCGGTGACGGCCTGAACGCGTCAGCCGAGACAGGGCTGGCGGCTGGGGACAGCGGTGTCGGCCTGAACACGTCAGCCGAGACAGGGCCGGCGGCTGGGGGACAGTGGTATCGGCCTGAACACGTCAGCCGAGACAGGGCCGGCGGCTGGGGGACGGCGGAGCTGACCTGGGTATGTCAGCCAAGACGCGTTTGACGGTCCAGGGTCAGTGGTCCTGACCTGAGCACTTCTGCATTCCGAGCATGACTGAAGTTCTAAGGATGGACCATCCATTGCCATGCCACATTACAGCCACGCTAGTCTCTAGCCTGGCTGCAGTTGCAGCGCAAGTAGTGCCTACACACTTCTAACGGTCTTCACGAATGCGTGTAGCACTTCCGCACCTGTTCCTAATACGCCCTTGGCAGGTTAGTGCCGCCATGTTCAACACGGGTGTGCGGGATTAGCAGGGGGCGCCCGATGCAGCGTAATACATTCGGACCGTCACACTTACAAGTGACCCTATCATCATCAAACTGTGGCGCTGCCTGTTCCACAGAGCCGGGTTAAGTCTTGGATTACGGGGACGGCGTCGTTCTTGAGAAGTCGCGCCATCTATTGCGCCGCCGACGAGCTGGCCGTCGCGCCTCGGATCGTATTCCACCTGTTATGCGCACGAGTCATGATCATCCCGCTGATGAACGGCTGCCAGGCAATCGTCCGTCACCTTTACCACCCGTCTGGCTGCCAAGAACGCCTGGCGCTATTTACATGGTCGGCGTGTCGGCTGTCGTGCGGCTTTTAGTAGCTGTCCTCTATTCGAAAAATCCCACCTCGATACCTCCCAGCGCAGATTTGTTTTGATAGATGACGCCGGCGGAGAATTTTCGTCAGCGGTAACGGCCTGCTGGTGACAAATGGCGGCAGGCGTCGAGCGGAGACGCATTCGCAGCGCGGAGCAGTGCCACCGCCAGCTGCCGCCCACCGGCGACCGGTGCCAGAGGTCAGCGGCGCGGCGGCCGGGCGGACGGCGCAGGGGCGGGTCAGGCGCAGCGGGGCATGACGCCGGCGCCGACACGCCGGATGTGCGGCCAGACTGCCCGCCCGGCAGCCGGCCTGGCGCGTCGGTGGCCCGCGCGAAGCAGTCCAGTGGCACGGTCGGGGATGCGCCGGTCCAGTGAGCAGTCTAGAGTCACGGTCGGGGATGTGCCGGTCCAGTGAGCAGTCCAGAGTCACGGCCGGGGATGTGCCGGTCCAGTGAGCAGTCTAGAGCCACGGCCGGGGATGCACCGGTCCGATGAGCAGTCCAGAGCCACGGCCGGGGATACCCCGGTCCGATGGATTGTTGCTGGAGCTCTTCTTCGCGTTCGGCGACTCTGCAGAAAACCTTGCTGCGTTGTCTGCAACGTTTGCTTGCATTCGCTTTCGTTTTAGGCGAAGACTACCAGTTGACTTAATTTCTGGATATGGAAATACTTCATCACGATATGGGCCATTCTCAGTTGTTAACTTTTGTAATTGGTATGAAATGTATTTCTTGGGTCGGTGCAAACGGACATGTGGCAAGGAAAGGACGAACGGCAAACTAATGTCGGCAAACGAACGGCAAACTAATGTCAGAATAGCAGAGCAACTGCCACCGCCAGGTGAACCGGACGTTGTTCCGTCCGGAACTGAAAGAATTGACCGCACTTCTGCCGACCTGTGACGCAGCGTTAGCGGGTGGCCCAGAGGCGCGGATGGGGCCGGCGGAGGGTGTGATGATGCTGCCACCCGTCAGACTAGCAGCGCGAGACCCGCCGGGCCCTCGCTGAATCCAGACGGCGGCGCCGCAGTCGGCTGGCCAGGACCGAAGTTTCGCGAAGAAGAATGGGGATGGTCAAGGACAAAAATCACTAAAGCTTTACCAAAGTGCGCCAAAAAATAATCGATGATTTGATTCCCTTTACTCGGAAAGTTGAGGCTGGGGCTGGAGCTCCCCAATGGAATAGGAACTGCATTACCGCAGCTGACCACTATCGCAGTCTAACAGGATGACGTGACACGATTAAGATGATTATCGGCTTAACCAGTGGTGGTTTATCTTTGAATAGGTCTATACGGAGCTAGTGACAAAAAAGGTAAGGTTACGTCAGCTGGTACCAAAGCATCTGCTTATGCCTGCACCCATCTTATCGCGTGTTTTGGTGTTGTGCCTTCCCCTCGCGTCGTTGTCTCGAACGCTTAGTTTTTGTTGATGCTAGATAACTCTACTGTCCCTAAATTTTCAGATATATTTGTTACGCACGCATTGGTACGTGTAGAGTACTATCTTGAGATGTGTGGAGAATGTGCTGCATCGGAGCGTGATAGTTGTTTGCCCGTGGCTGCTTGTGAGATGTATGGTGATGCCGAGCAGGCACACCATTTTTCCCTTCCCTTCGTTATTAGAATTATTACTTGGCGTACGTGTCCTCTGGTCGTTATCCCTTGTTTGTGGTCCTCACGGTTTCCCAGCTCAAGTCACCTGATCGCTAGTTCACTCACCCCGTGCCGTTATGCGGTACAACGCCTCACCAGTCCGACCTTGACCCGTCACTCCCTGGGCGGGAGTCACGCCCCTGAGACACTCTGGGTGTCGAAGTGGATCTGACCTCTGCCCTCTGTCCTGGCCGTCGTGACCGCCCTCCGACGGCGGCACGGGCGGGCGCTCGGCGGCGCAGTATCCGTCCCGGCGGCGAGTCGCCTCCGGGGGCCCGACAGCACCGCGGCGCGCCGGAAGCCCCGCGACTGACGTCCTGTCCCCGGAGCCTCCCACCTGGCCGACGCCCCGCCGCCCCGCCGCGCCGGGGCCTCGGGTCGGACGGAGTGGGGATGAGAGGGGGCGGTCGTCGGTGCCGACGTGGACCCCTCGTTACTGCAGCTCCGTCGACGGCCGAGCATCGACAGACGCCGCACGAGCAGCGGCGCAGACAAAGAGCGGCCTCATTAGCGTCTGTAACCGCCTCTCCCCATCCCTTTCAGCCCTCCCCTCCCCCCCCCCCCACAGCACCCACCCACACAGTGCGGGGACCAGAGCCTGCGCCGTCAGTTTTTACGTGAGCTGACACGCACATGGGTTGCTGCTCTATATTTGGCGCGGCGGAGTTTTTGAAGTCTCGACATGTGAATCCAACCGTGCTAAAAATGATCACTATAAGAGTATGCGGACAAAATGGCATTGCCGTAGGAAACTGCTATGCCGCACATGACCATGCTGCTCGGTTCTTATGATTGTAATGGTCGTTAGAAATCCATTAGAAGAGCCGTTAGTTTCTAATGTCCTCACATGACACCCCTTCCTTTGCTGTGCCGCTCTTTGTACGCGAGCTAGGGTAAATCTAACGTGCATTGTTCGCTCAGAGTCGCAAGATATATTGCTACGGAGCATCATCACGCGAGCCGTTTGTTCACAGTGCATGCGCATAAAAGCAGGCACCTGTATAATTTTGCAGATCATGTCATAAATTTGCAGTGTAAAACCGCTTGTGAAACAGCTACCGCGTACCTTTTACTGGGAATTAATTTAAAGTGGTGTATGAACATCCGGCATTAACTAAAATAATGTCAGTGTCGTGATGGTGGCCGCGGGCGGCTCTAGGATGGACTTATGCAGTGCTGTATGCCACTAACGCTTGATGGAGCTCGTTGCTCTTCCAATTAGAGTAAGTTTGCGCGTAAGGTTAAATAAAGTGCGATGGCTTTTTAACTGCACCACTTTGCATACAATTGCAGCGCTGTCCAGAGCGAGATGCATGTCAGAGATGCTTGCCTCTTTCTGCCTGATATGTTCGGATTGCATACATTAACGCCCGCCGTTTGAGCCACATGCACCAGGCGCCATCCTGCCCGTGTCTGCCCTGTCCCGAATCGGGCCGAATGACAGCCTCGGTGTCCGCTGCGCCGTTTTCTCCACTGTTTGATGCGTTTCCAATGTGATCAATCGTCGGTGGATGGTCATCAGTAGCTGTCTGCTTTCAGGCCAGCTGACTCACGTGTCAGCTGCTGAGGGCAAGACAGCTGAGCTGCCGTGTGACGTCACGCCGCCGGTGGCTGGGGACGAGCTGCGATTGGTGCTCTGGTATTACGGCACCGGCGGCACGCCGATATACACGTGAGGGACGGCGCCGGAAGCGACAATGACCTGAGTTAGCCTATTTGCGTGGAGGAGAACTGGAGGGGTTTAGTGCGTGCTTGACGCTTGCTTTTAGTCAATTGTAGATCAGTATTTTTGTATCCGGCCGTGCGTTATGCCATGAAATCCCATGCCATTTGAATGAATGACTTTGGGCTCGGGGAAGACAAGTGAAACTCAAGCTTAACCTTTGCCTTAGCTTAACATTTTCCTCGGTGAGTAGATTCCTAGTCCAAGACCATTGGAATGCTCCTTACCGTAACTTTTAAATCGCGGATGAAAAAAGTTTATTGGTCTCATTTCACCAGCGGAAGGACAATTACAATGCATAACAATGACGTTGATGTTCCATCGCGGCGGCGCGTGGACGCATTCTAACAAACCTTGTTATCGAAGCACGATTGAAATAAAACAATGCTGCAGCTCATCGCACTCTGCAAGTCACGTTTTTTTACCACCGCAGTGAACACTAAGATATTTGAAACAGATTCTTTACGCGATGCATTGCTTATTACGGCACATAGGAAAAACATATTCCGGGATACTGAAACCATGTGAGCGTAATGCTATGCTGAGCTGTTTGCATTGTCAGCTAAGGTACCATAAGTGTAGCATCATGCTAGGCAAGGCTTCCCAAACAAGGATTCGTTAGACCAGCACGGATACTGTGTAGTCTGCTCGAGGCCCGGTATTTTTACCATCGACTGCAGCGGGCAGACCAGTCCCATACCGTCGTGGGTCTGCGGCTGATTTCAGAGTCCCCCGGAGTTTTTTCCTACGCGTTTCTCTTGTCAGGAGTCTCGATGACGTGGCTCCGGGGTTACGATAAGGACGCTGGCTTTCGTTATGGCTAGCTGATGGTCTGATCTTGATTCAAAGAGGAAGGCACAAGTTGTCCGGCTGACACTCATCGCTTGTTGTTGGCATCGATCGATTCATATCGTAACGCAGTTAAGAATGACGCAGTAGAACTATCCCAATATCTTTGTTGGTTTTGTGTGGCGTAGACCTGATACCGCGTATGTATCTGTGATGCCTTACCGTTAACTTGATACGGCACAACTTTTTTCATCAGCCACATCGTGTTTTGCTTATGCGATCCTCGCTCCAGGTGCGCGCTGCCCTGAGTTGTTCGATCATTGCACGTCTTCCGACAGCTACCCTGGACCCTGTCCAGGATGATGCATTAAGCCTGCACGGAGGTGGTATTCTAGTGGCCGTATTTCACGAGATGATGGTGAGGGGCGTGCACTTGGAAATGAGCTGGGGCGCACTTCGACGTGACTGATTCGCCGCGCTCTGCTAGGATGGCACTGCCTAGCGAAGCTCAATGACGACGCTCCGTTAATGGGCCGTCGCATCATCCCGGCGCGCACATCGCTTCTCTGCGACCTGGCGGTGTGAATCTCCCAGTCCGCGTCTGCGATACAAAGCGACGCTGCCATCCGTGCATGGTCCTGAGCCCTCGCTGTCGGCAGGTATGACTCTCGCAAGAGCAGCCGGATTAGCGGCGCGCACTGGGTGGACCCCAAGCTGGACAGCAGCCGGGTGCAGTTCCACGCGGACTCCCGGCCGGCCCACCTGCGGGTCACGGCCGTGCAGCGCGAGGACCAGCGCCTGTACCGCTGCAGGGTCGACTTCCTCCACTCGCCCACCAGAAACTCGCGCGTCAACCTCACCGTCATCGGTGAGTACTGCTCGACCCCCTTCCCCTCCGTGGGGGAGCGCCGTGTATTGCGCCGCCCCCGCGCCAGAGCTGGAGACTCCGGGTCTGTCGCACACTCAAATACTGAGTCTCACCGCGCCAAACCGTTATTACAGCTGCGGGGCGCACGCTGATGAAATTACTGCGGACAGATCATATATGTCGACTTAGCACAGGAAAGTGGACGTTTTCCACGAAGTGCATTCATAACGTGGGCTGGTTTTGGCTGCCGGTGACCCGAACGCGGTGGTGCGGAATTCCGGCAGGGCGCGCCTCGCCGCCTGACCGGGCTGCTATTTCAGGGTCGACAGGCCTCAGTGACGGCATTAAGTCACATTGCCGCGGAAATGAAAATTAAACAGACGTGTATATTGTAATGTTTGTGGCATATTTATCTTTCAGAAGCTTTCGACGTAAATTTTGTCGTTAAGGTATTGATGTGTGCCGAAGATCTATATTTAAACCGACTTGCACTGTTGCATGCAGCACCTGTATTCTGAGACAGCAAAGGTTCTTTTATCTTCTTCGCTAGCTTCACCAACCTCCCACACGCATTGCACACGACGTGACCTGACCTGACCTACCGACGATGCCCACCTCCAGCTCGGGAGCCGCTGATGCTGAAGCTGATCTAAGGGATCACTCCTGATTGGGCCTGTTCACGAACTGGCGGTGTGGGCCACCTGATCACGCCTGCTGACAAGGCTCGGAGGCTCAGAGGCGCCATGTTTTCCTATATGACGCCAGACCTGCAGGAGAGGCCGGCACAACGGAAACTCCGCCGGCGTACAGCCAGCACCCAGACCGGCGCCCTGGCCCGCCGCCACGCGGCTGCGCTCTTATCTGCGCCTTATCGCGCTCGAGGGCCCGGTGGAGCTGTTGACACTCGGCCCGGATTGAACAGTGCTCTTTGCCTCCTGCAAGCGTGGGAATCACTGCCGCTCCCAGAAGTAACGAGGAAGTAATGAGCTGTGAACGATTTTTCAGCCCCAGCGATTAGTAGTTATTTTGTTAGGGGTCGTTAATGCTGCGGAAATGGAATTATGGCGTGCGAGCATTAGCGATATTGTATTTTGTTGTGGATAGTCTGAGACGTCTGTTCTGATCGGGGCAGAACAATATATCCGGGCAGACTGATAGAATTAATGTTTTCGCCGTTTACTGGCACTTTGGCAAAAAAATCGCTTATAGTTATGTTCCAGGCTCTGGTGAAAGTCTATATTAGGCCTGCTGAACTACCAATGGCTGCGTGTTATTTTCAGTCGTTCGCTCTTGAATCCAATCACAGCGGCCCGGCCGTTCTCCTCGGCCGTGCATTTGGTAATGAAACCCATTTCTCGTGGTGCAACGCTTCCGAATCCAGCCAATCACCAGCGACGAGCTCTATATGTCATGTTTCGCACTGCATGCCACTAGAGATCATTGCGGTAATCTTGTTCGGGCTCAGCCTTCCACGAGACCGAGCGAGGGCAATCAACTCCGGCAGGCGGGCACAGCTGCCTTCTTCTGTGTCCCCTTCGCGCCCCCATCCGCCGCATAAGTGTATTTCTGTCGTGAGGCCCGTCTCGCGGGCCGTATTGATTGCTGCGACCTCCCCTTTCTCTCTCCCCTTGTCGTATTTCACGGTGCGAAATTAAGGCAGTGACACATGACGATTGGGGTATGACGTAGGCTTACGTTTCAGTTGCTCAAACAGCTCAATATTGGGATGGGAAAATGGCCACACGTAGGACTTGTGTAAGGCTGAAAGCTTTGCGCAGCTCGTGCTGAATTACCACAATCACCACAGGTATGAATGGCCGCATAAAAAATAAGGCACAAGAGAGAGCCATGGCTGGTTTTATCTACAGCAGTATTTTAAAGCTCCCCCAGCTTTGCAGGGACGCGCCACAATTGCACAGCTCTTGTTGTATATATTGGAACCGTCATCGTGTGCAGGCGTCACACCGCAGTTTGCATGTGACCTATGACCGACGTTGCGCGATCCTGACGCACCCCACCTGGCAACATGAGGCTTACTCCGAGCACTGCCGCCTGACTCCGCCCGGGACCTCGTTCTGCTGAGACCAGCAGAGCCGCTGGACGCAGCCGTATTTATGCCCACGGCTTCCCCAAACTACACGGATGATGCTGTTCATTACGAATATATTGTCCGGGTCGCTGCGCGCCGCTGCTGCCGTTGGCTCAGGAATATGGAAATTTGGCCGGAAAATTCCACGCCACGCTCGTTCGTTTCCGTATTGGATTTCGTTATGGAACAGACCCGTTCCGCGCAGAAAAATGGGACGCCGTTTTGCTGTCATTATTTCATATTATTAGCTTTAGATACGGCGCATCGGTTTCCAACCACTGTTTTCTATTTTGATGTTGATCCGTTCTATGTTTTCTTGTGTTTTTACTCCCTAAGCCAACGTTTGATGCATGGTGGAACGGCCTATTTGAATTGTAAATGGCAAGCCCGTGCATTTACATAATAGTGCATTGCAGTGAGCCGAAATTCGCTTGATGTTTTTATTCAAGAGCGACTAGCAAATACTTTGATTTGGCTCAATACATCTTGCCGCTGTTCAGCTCTTCCTGTGGACTGCCCGCCGATCTCTCAATCTATAATAAAGTCCCGCCAGTTGCTCAATAAATCAGGCAGATGCCAGTGCGTCCCTGTACCTGAGCGTCCGCCGTGACTGAACCCTCCCCTCCCTCGTCCCTCCTCACCCAGCCGCCTAGTCCGGGAGAAGGCACCCATCACAGGTGACGTCTGTGTCGCACAGTGCCTCCGGGGCCTCCGGTGGTGACGGACGAGACGGGACGGGTGATCGGCAGGGGTGCCAGCTCTCGACACCGCGAGGGCCAGATGCTTCAGCTCACCTGTCGCTCCTCTGGAGGTGAGGCTGCACGCGCGCGCGGCACCCCGCCGGCGGCGCGCCCACCTCAAAGGCCGCTAGTTTTGTCGGTGCTGGTGCAGCTGTGGAGGCCCGTAAAGGAGCAGGATGTGTCACATTATTGCACCGGGGAAGACGCAGGGTGTGTCACACCACTGCACCGGGGAAGGCGCAGCGTGTGTCACCGGGGAAGGCGCAGTATATGTCACATCACTGCACCGGAGAAGGCACAGGGTGTGTCACATCACTGCACCGGGGAAGGCGCAGGGTGTGTCACACCACTGCACCGGGGAAGGCGCAGTGTGTGTCGCATCACTGCACCGGGGAAGGCTCAGGGTGTGACACATCACTACACCGGGGAAGGCGCAGTGTGTGTCACATCACTGCACCGGGGAAGGAGCAGGGTGTGTCACACCACTGCACCGGGGAGGACGCAGTGTGTGTCACATCACTGCACCGGGGAAGACGCGGGCTGTGTCACACCACTGCACCGGGGAAGGAGCAGGGTGTGTCACACCACTGCACTGGGGAAGAAGCAGGGTGTGTCACATCACTGCACCGGGGAAGGAGCAGGGTGTGTCACATCACTGCACCGGGGAAGACGCGGGCTGTGTCACACCACTGCACCCGGGAAGGAGCAGGGTGTGTCACGTCACTGCACCGGGGAAGGAGCAGGGTGTGTCACACCACTGCACCGAGGAAGGCGCAGGGTGTGTCACATCACTGCACTGGGGAAGGCCCGGGGAAGGCGCAGGATGTGTCACATCATTGCACCGGGGAAGGCGCAGGGTGTGTCACATCACTGCACCGGGGAAGGCGCAGGACGTGTCACACCACTGCACAGGGGAAGGCGCAGGACGTGTCACACCACTGCGGTGTGGACGACGGAAGGACGGTCAGCCTCGGCGCCGCAGTCCCTGCCGCCGGGGCGCATCTATCCAGCCCGGGCCCCACATGCAGATGCCAAGGAATCCGTACGAAAAGCGCGGGCAGTGTTTGCCCGTGGATCTAATGACTTGTCCTAATGGAAATTCAACTCTTTCTTTGCTTGGCCGCTCTCGGTGAGCCAACACGGTAGTCGGAAGTGCAAACTCCTCAGCGTTGACTTATTAAATGGCTGGCGCTGGCCGCCGAGATTCCGACCGATTGCGAAGCCTCCTGCAGTGACCGCGCGCCGGCGACAGGCTCCCCGCTGCCGAACGTGACCTGGTGGCGGGGCAGCGCCCTGCTGGACGGCACGTGGCAGCCGGGCGCCAACGGCTCCGTCTCCAACCAGCTGATCGCCGGGCCGCTGAGCCGGGACGACCTGGGCGCCGAGTACACGTGCTGGGCGGCGAACCACGCGCTCAGCCCGCCGCGCTCCACCACCGTCGCCATCGACATGCTGCGTGAGTCATGGCGTGCGGAGGCGACCGCGGCCGCCGGCTACGAGGCGCGGGGTGTTGATGGCGTGAGGAGGGTGAGGATGGGGCTGGTGCGCGTAAATGTCTCGACGCTGGAAGCGCTTCTGGTGCACGGTAAAGCTGTGAAATGGGCAGAGTGCAGCGCGGCGCGATGGGGCGTGTCGCTGAATGGGGTGATACGGGTACCACTCCGTTTAACTTCAGACGTTATTTTATGCCACGCGGCTGCACGGGGTTTGTGTCATGCTGGAAGCGATGTGGCAGATGTTAGGCTCCTGAGAGTCTTCGCCTTGCCGGCAGCGTTGCGACTGATCTTACTGCTTTTTTCGTCACGTGGCCATGTCGTGTTATGCCATGATTGCATGCATACCTTCCTTCAACAACGGTGATGGTTCCAGTGCGCCCGCTGAGCGTGGCTCTGCTGGGCACCAACAACCCGCTGTCCGTGGGGGTCACGTACCTGCTGACCTGTCAGAGCGCCGGGTCACGACCTGCCGCCGTCATCACCTGGTGGCTGGGCGGCCGACAGCTGAAGCTCACCAATCAGGTGAGAGTGCCGAGGGCTTTGGCAGGCGCTCGCCAGAGGCTGCCCTCCGCTGAAGTGTGCCGGGCGCTGGAATCACGACTTGTCCACTAATCCCCGATACCAACTTGTTCGTTTTGGCGTTTCCCAGGATAACGGCCTGCGACACGTCATTCGATTTGAACGTGTCCAATCACGACTTGCGGTTTCGTGACGTTTGCTTTTGCGGAGGGCGATCAGTGCTGCAATATTTTTCGCCTTTCTGGTTCTGCTATTGCCATGATCGGTGACGCCCTCGCCGCGTGACTGTTTTCAGACCAGCAGTCACGATGGCAACGTCACCACGTCGAAGGTCACACTGACACCGAAAGTTAAGGATAGCGGCCAGATAATCCGCTGTCAAGCCAGTAATCCGCACCTCAGTGACACGATCGAGGACCTGTGGCGGCTCAAGATACGGTGTAAGTGGGACAGTTTCTGGATGGTGGCCCATTCATTGGAGCTATGCGTCGGGGAAGTTGTGACTTTGGGAGCTAAGCAATGACACTAAAATGTTATTATTATTGCTAGGAACTGAGTGCAACGCATGCCGGCATTTTGGTCCGCATGATTCCTCACTCTACTGTGTGTGTTTTTGGTTTGTTTGGTTTGGTTTGCTTGTTTTTGTTTTGTTGTTTTGCTTGCTTTCGCTAGACTTTTGATCAGCCTAAGATCGGGGGCCTGTTGGCGAGCTGTCCCTGTTGGCGAGCTGTCCTGATGTCCTGTCCCTGTTGGCGAGCTGTCCTTATGTCCTGTCCCTGTCGGCGAGCTGTCCTGATGTCCTGTCCCTGTTGGCGAGCTGTCCTGATGTCCTGTCCCTGTTGGCGAGCTGTCCTGATGTCCTGTCCCTGTTGGCGAGCTGTCCTGATGTCCTGTCCCTGTTGGCGAGCTGTCCTGATGTCCTGTCCCTGCTGGCGAGCTGTCCTGATGCACCGAGGGGACAAAGAATCTCTTCTGGGCAGCTTAAGGAAGCGGACCTGACAGCGGACGGTAGCAAAATCCCCAAAATGTGTCATTTGTTTCCCGACGTCTTCTGATCACGGGTTGTGACTCACGCATGCCACGTGTGCCAATTTGAGCAAACGTTTTCTTTCCCATTTTATCGCGATCGAGCTGTCTGATTGTGAGTTTATCACCAGTGATTTCAACACTCATCACATGCATTAGTTAATGGTAGAAACGTATAGAAACATCACCTTCCCATAGACTGGAGAGGAAGGTCTTCTTACGGTGTTAATCAAATGAAGACGCCCCACGGACAAGTGTCTCCCCGCCCCCATTCGAACCAGCGCACGTGTGCTGTGTGGTTCCGCCGGCACACCGGGCCTGCCCGTAGCCTGCAGCTGTCATGCCGACAGCGGCGCCGGCTCAGAATGAAGCGTCTAGTTTCTTTGTGAGACGTGCACCTCCGTTTGGCAGACAGCAGCAATTTGCTGCTATTCATAGTGGTCTTACGCGACGCGCGGCCTGGCCGTTTGTCAAAGACATGCATTGTGTGAATCTTGCGCAGTGAGCGGTACGCTTCGGGCGTCGCGCGCCGCGCCGGCGCGACCGGCGTTTTCATTTGTGGCGCGCTGGGCACGAGGCATTGTCGTGTCTCATAGATGCTATCTCGAGCCGACATTACGCTCGTTTAGCGCTGTAAATACATCAGAGGTGGAGGGCGAGGGGCGGGGAGGCGGGGAGGCGGGGGAGGTGCGGAGGGTCGGGGCAGCACGCGCCAGTGATTTATGACCAAGGATGTGGTGCTTGAGATCCGCGCGCCCCGTACCGCCAACGCTGATTCCGATAGCACGCGATCTGACCCCAGAACGCGCTGTGACAACTTGACGGCTGAGTAGAGCGTGGACCTCTCGGGAACTTCGGAGAGAACATTTTGGCGAGCATTGGGTTCAGGGAAGGAAAACTTAGATGGGGGAGGATGCACCGTAACAGTGAAAAGTGAACGTCCTTGTGATCAGTGAACCCATGGAAGAACGTTAAGTGGCCGATAATCCCAGCGGGAGGCTGTTTGGCGATCCATTGTCCTCACGGAGGGTCTTCCGCGCTTTGTCGACCCCGCCGAATGACGTCTAGGTGACCGGTAATCTATGAACACGACTTTTGACCAGAGGATGTCTGATTTGTGCGTTGCAAGGACGATGTTAGCGATGCTAACATTAACCGCCAATAATTGGTGAGGACGCCATCACATACAGCATTTCTCGCATAATATTAGAGTGGCTGAAATACGAGGGACGATCATATCAGAAGGGATGCCTTACCGGGTGTCGATAAAATGGGGCGGTGATAAGACCCAGTGGCCGTGATAACTGATGGAACAAGAGCGGAGGCCTACAGCGGCGTGCGTTGACGTCACTGGCACGGCGTGCGCCGGTGGAGCGAGATTTGGCAGCGGTTCAGCGCAATGTTACTGATCCAAGAAAGGACGACATTGAACAGCATAAGACAGTAGATGCAAACTGCTGATACTGTTGTGGGTATGGGTGTTGCTGATCACACCCTTGATAGCATGTGTGTCACATACCCTTCCAAAGGATTTTTAGTTGTGTTATGGGTATACGGACGATGCGGGCAAACAAACGACTGCAAACTCTCCTGTAGCTCCGTATCCAGTAACTTTGGAGGCGTCCCACCTGTTATGACGGGCACAATGCTGCCATACCATCGCTT